CCTTCCCCCCTCTCTCTCTCTATCTCTCTCTCTCTCTCTCCTCCGCTCCGTCCCGAAATCAATTAGTCCCGCGCGCGCACATCCTATCCAGCCTTTCTCTCCTTCCAAGGTTATCGAGGCTCCTTCCGTTGATCCTCGACCGATTCCTCGCGACAAAGGAGAGAACTCGTCGTCCAGACTCTCGTTCCAAGTGCTACTTCTAGATACATTGCCCTAAACTTTTCCACGCTCGGTCCAAGTGAGAGCCGTGTTCAGCTATGAGAAATATTGTAGAATCGGTCGGCAAATTGAGATCTCGAGAATGGTTTCTCCAATGGTGTTTTTCGTAAAAGTTATTTAGTTCGAAATTTTCGGCGCTTGTATCTTTTTTGGATATTTCTATAATTGTTGGAATTATATTTCCCTTACTCCGTCTCATTTCGAAGCATCTACAGTTCAAAGTATCCCTTTTATTATTGGAAATTAATCACACTTCACGTGTGTGAGAAGAAAATGCGGATTAACGAAGAAAAGGGCAACGCTCGAAGTTTAAAAATGATGGAATGATTAAGTTATAATAAAGAGTCACATCGAATAGAGAGATTTCTCCGTGGGTACGAGTAGTAACGGGTGATAATGACGCGCTTCAGTGACAGATATGAAAAATTAATCTACGTAACGGCTCACCAAAAAAGTGATGTATTTATCTTGTCCGGTGAGTCACGTGCATCTTTCTGTACGCGCGTATAAAACAGATCGTTAATGCAACCCGAAGTGCATTCTGCGCTCATTTCTCAGCTCGTCTCGATTTCACTCCGATAGCCTCTCTTATTTCCTCGCTGGGTAGGAGATCTCCGTCACTCTCGACGGAGAGACGGGACCTCGTCGTTTATTTCGTCCCTTCACCTTCGACCCATGTCGTCCCTCTTCGTATTTCCTGGACCGCCATGGAGCCGCCCTCTCCTCTCGTTCTTCGGGCGGGACCTCTCTCTCCCAAGTTGCCCTCCGATGCATTTTCTGTCTTGCTCTTCTCTCTCTCTCTCCCTCTCCCTCTTTCTCTCCCTCCCCTTTCTCCGCGCGCTACCCGAGTTTCCTGTCCATCGCTGTCATCCGTCTCCGTCTTCGCCGGCGACTTTTTTCACCCGCGCTATCTCGCTCGATCCTCTCCGCCACGCCGGTTGGTTTTTCTCCTTTCTCTCTCCGGGTTTAGGTCCGTAGGGCTTTGGGGACGCAAGAACGAACGAACGAACGAACGAACGAACGATTGGACAGACGCAACTGGCGAAGCCGTTCCTCTCTCTTTCCCATGATTCTCTCGCTCTCGGTCGGTCGCCACTCGTTCGTCCGCCTGCTTACTCGCTTGCTCGGTCGCTCGGCCAACCCTCTGTCTCCCTCGCTCTTCGCCGGTTCTGTATATTTATTGATTGCCACCTCACCTCGTCCTACCACGAGCAGACCGAGGTCTGCGGCAGTTTCCCCACCCCTCTCGCGTTCCTCGTTTCCCCCGTTCCCTGCCTCATTCTGCAGCAACAGCAGCATCGCGCGCGTGCTACGAGAAGCCTCTCTCTCTCTCTCTCTCTCTCTCTGTCCCTCTTTCTTGCTCTCTTTTCGCGCTCTCTTCGCTTCCTCTCTCTCCCTCCCTCTCCCTCTCCCTCTCCCCCTCTCCTTTCTTTCTCGCTCTTTCTTTTTGGCTATCTCTCCGTTCGCGCTCGTCGATCTACACTACGTCCTGTTTCATTCGAAGCTTCATTCGCCTTCTCTTTCACGTTCTACCTTTATCCGCGGTCTCTCTCTGTCCGTCTCTATACATCCCTCTCTCTCTCCGCAACCCCTCGTGGTGCGCTTTTACCTCCTACGCTCGATACAAACCCCTCGTTGGACGCGGCAGAGTTTTCGTTTGAAGCTACCATATCCGGGGCTTGCGATATATACCCGTCCCACACCCATACCAGCATTGCCGCCGCCGCCGCCGCCGCCGTCGCCGCTTCCCTCGTCTTGACGTCGACGTCGACCTCTCTCGGCATCGTTAATATCTCGAGGGCGGAGAACTCGCGGCGGTATCAGCGCTGCAACGAGAGTGCGCCGTGAGATGAGAAGACGCCGTCATTTAGGCAAAGTAAGGGAAACGGAAAGGTCTATGCGGGTAAACGATACTTCTCCGCTGTACTGCAGTTTCTCTCCTTATAGTCTCGGTTATCTTCTCTTGATTCCCTTAATATGATAATAACAAGGTATACATACATTCTCCTTTCCTCTCTCTCTCTATTGTATGCCAAATTAGTTATGATAACGTGAAATTTGCGCACGTGGGTAACTTTGCATACGGATAATCCATGGCTGCCGAAGGGCTTTGGCGATCGAATAAGCGAGCTCCTTTATGAAGTCTTCGTATAAAATTTCACCAAGTGCCACATTATGCAACGTTAACGATATGACGGCTAATTGGATTATTTGTTTTTCATTTCTTTATCAGAGCAACCGCTATACGACGTTCCGTTTATCGAGGTCTTTATCGCGCTCGTTTGTCTCTCGCGCATGCATCATCGTTAGCTTGTGTCGTACGTCGCAAATAAAACGCTGTCATTCGTGGGAAATAAAAGACGAAGAATCGAGCGCAGGAAAAAATTACTGTCTCTCGCTCTCTCTCTCTCTCCCTCTCTCTCTTCCTTCTTTCTCTCCGTCCGCCTCGTTCGTTCTTTGTGTTCCTGTTGCGTTCTCCGTCTCGCTCTCGTGCCCTCTCTGTGTCTCCTTCTCTCTCTCTCTCTCTCTCTCTCGCTCTCTCTCTCTCTCGCTCTCACCGCTCGTTTGCGATTCCATTGCTCTGTGACCCTTCGCGA